TTTCAAACATTTCCCCCCCCCCCCCCCCTTGTCAACAACTGTCAAACATTTCCAATTCCCCTCCTCCTTATTTTGTTGAAGTAATTATTGGACACCCCCTAACCTTTCACGCGTCTGCTTTAGTTCACTATCCCCACCACTGTCCACACCACAACACTGTCCATACCCCACCACTGTCCACACCACACCACTGTCCACAGCACTGCACTGTCCACACCACTGTCCACACCACACAACTGTCCACACCACACCACTGTCCACACCACACCACTGTCCACACCACACCACTGTCCACACCACACCACTGTCCACAGCACACCACTGGCCACATGATACAATAGCACTTGAGTCTACGAAAGTAAAATCTGGTAAATAGTGGATGCTGTCAGGTGGGTAAATTCATTCTGCACATTAAAGGAGTTGGGGGGGGGACGGGACATTAAAGGAGAGGGGGGTAGGAAGAGGGGTATAACGATTTGGATACATCTTCTTTCTTATATATCAAGTGTTCTTTCATAAGTCAAGTGTTTTTCATATATTTCATGTGTTCTTTCATATATTTCATGTGTTCTTTCATATATGTCAAGTGTTCTTTCTTATACTCATATGTCAAGTGTTCTTTCATGAGAGGGTAAAAAATACTCAGTAGTTTCAATAAGCCAAGAAAATTTGCCACATTGAAGCCATGATCGTCTTGCTGAAGTGATTCTGTGTGTCCACGCAGAGCTTGATTTTGAGTTGCAAGGAATTTGATGCAAAAGAGGATTCTTGTCAAGATATCAGCCAGTAACTCTGTTTGCAGCTAAATTTCGATACATTTCTGTAGGGTGGCCCTTCCCTTATACTACCTTTCAACAAAATGAAACTCTTTTTGGTCCTTTCAGGTGGAACACTACAATGTCAACAAAAAAAAAAAAAAAACCTTTAAAAAAAGTGAGTGTTTTTGCGCCAAGGGCATCTGCCCCACCTGTCATAGCTTAGGTCCGCCACTGCTTATGCGCCATCAAATAAACATTTACAGGATCTTCTGAAAACATAAATTAGTCATGTGAGCTACTGTTTTGCACCAAGTGTAAACAGAATTAGGAGAAACGTGTAACATTTTTTAAAATGCGTAACATTTTGCATGCATCGCTACTCCCCTGTGGCTCCCCAGGCCATCATGGCAGCGTTTCGAGAACCACTGGGCTAAGCCTAACAGACAGCGGAAAAAACTTGTGCCGCCTTTAAACAAAAAATTGTGATGTCATAATTGGGGGTGGGGTGGGTGTCAAATTATCGAAAATGAGAAGTTAACTCTTTTTATGTAACACATGGACCCACCACTCAGTGGAAAAAACTGCCCCCAGTTAAACCCTATTTATTCATATTTCACTGTGAATTTTGAAAAAATTCAATATTAAATTTCAGTTTGAAAATCTAATTTTTCATGTTCTTTTCCCAATGCGTTTCAGACGAATATTGAAATTTATAGACATGTTTGCCAATCCTATAATATGCAGTGCTTATAATCCTTATATTATTTTTTATATTGATCGATTTTATATGAATTACATAATTACAAAAATTACATAATAGTCCAGAAATACCAGGAGGGTGTGAAATGTGGTAGTAATGCATTTTTTTTTTTTTTACTTTGTACCGCGCTTCGAGGCTTTGGGGATGAAGTGTGTTTTTGAAATAAACTTTATTATTATTATTATTCCCTAGGAAACAAAATTGTTTAAAATCCACATTCAAGATTTCTGTGATCAAAGAACAGTAGGAATCATTTTTTTTACCACATACATGTGTTTTGTTCTGTTCAAGATGTTGAACTGTCCTTATCAAGTGACCGTTGCCTCAAATTCTTAATTTCAACACCTAAAAAATTTGCTACATTTAACAAATTCAATCAGCGCTTTTAGAATGTTTTATTTCTTACAAAAAAAAGTGATAGCTTCATTGTTTTTCCTAAACAGTTTTACACAAAAAATAAATGAAGAAAATGAGTAAGAAGACAAAGATATTTTTATAGTTTCAAGGACAGCATTTACTTTAAAGCACTCAAATTTGTCAGAGGTCTTTTCTCCACAAATAAAATTGAAATACATTTTGAAAAAAATATATTTAAAGATGGTAATTCCCTATTTTTGGTGATGCTAATTTTAGAATTACTGTAGTTCTAATTACAACCAGATATGCAAGTTTTTGAAATTTAAGAATATCATTTAATTTTGGATACATTTATAAAAAAAAAAAAAGAATTTTTAGTTATTTACATATTCATGACATAAAGAAATCATTGGCAAACTGTAATTTGTATCAATATCAATGCATACTCTCAATCACTCTGCCTCACAGATTCACAATCTTCCCCACAATCAGCAATTAGTAATTGACAATGGCAAGTGATTCAAGAATAATATTCAGAGCTTCATGTGAAAATAATAATGAAAAAAGTTTTATTAGAATTGACACAATAATTTTTTTTTAAAAATGGCCAACCATTAGTGAAGTGATTTACCCTCAGAGTAAACCCATTTTTGCAGTAACAATAAATCCCCTTTGCAGTTGTGATGAAATTTGCAACTCAGAGAAAATAAAGCTTTCCTAATTACACTTTAAGAATTTTTCTCAGCAGGCCTAAGTTTCATCATCAGAGTACACCTCGGTTGTGGCATGGGAAATGCCTGTCTGCTGACGACTTAAGCCTCGATCTGTTGGAGTAAATTAAAATTTAAAAATTCAATTTCTGTTAATCTTGATAAAGGCAGATACATTGACTTATAAATAATTCATATAGCTACAGGAATACCTCTAGTGTTGGCAGCATGCTAGAAACACTAGGCTGGTCACCATTGGAGAAACGACGACGACAATCCAGGCTCTCCATGATGTACAAGATAAATAATGGGCTGGTCCACTGTTCCAGTATTAAACAGAAACTCGTCCCTCTCCCCCATAGACAGCGACGAGGCCATGACAGGCAATTCAGGCTCATACCAGCAAGAAGCCAGTATAGGAGCTGCTCATTCCTGCCCAAGACAATCAGGGACTGGAACCATCTTTCAAAAGGAACAGTTGAGGCGACAACACTAGACACATTTGTGTCTATTGCCTCAAGCCTTCAAACCCCTAGTGCATAATTTCCTCATCACCACCAGTAACAGAAACATTGCAAATCCCATCTACATGCATAGGAGCCAAAATGATCAATAAATTGATCGTGGGCCCTTAAGATATAGAAGAAGAAGATTGAAAAAATCTAGAAGAACTTATACCTTACAATGAATATGAAAACTATGGTTTGGTTACAAACAACAACACAAAGTACCTTGGATTGGGCTTTTCTGTTCAGACTCTGGTTCTTCATTTAGCCTACAAAATATTAAACCATCATGATAAACAAATACAATGAGCAGCTATTTATAATATTTTTGGCAAACAAGGAGATCTAAGTGCCAACAATGGTGGCCCATTCACTTTTGGAGGAGCTAAGTCATCCAAATCATGTATTTCTGAAAGACAGAAATTTGCCCAATGGAATAAATACTTCTAGCGGTTCTTAGCAATTCAAAGTACAGTAGTGATGATTTAACCGAATGCACTTACCAATCTAGCTACAGTATACACTCCTTAAAAATATAAATACTGTTGGATGATTGTGACTTTTCTTTTAAAAGCCCTCATAATTTTCTAAAGCTTTCCTAAACATGTAATTTTATTTTCACAATCAACTTCATAAGAAAATGTTGCATAGTTGGCATTTAAGGATAAGAAAAATGTATTATTCTTTATTTTTTAAAGGTTATCATTGGAGTTAAGATTTTACCCCTTTTCTCCTTCATCAACTTCAGTCACCTCATCCTCATTCTCAGCACCAATCGGTGAAAGAGTTTGAGGGTTGAAGAGTTTGTAGGGTTCTCCTAGGATACCAGTCCTAGATTGATAGATAAAGATTAACAGCCTATAGATTTCGTTACATTATCATTGAAAAGTATTTCAATTTCATTTTATTGGTTAAAAATTTCATATTATCCTATGCAATATACTAAACTGAAGTTAGTTAGTTTTTTTTTTAATATTTGAAAAGCTTCATAATTTTTTTTACAAAATTCATTTCATTTGCTGAATAATGATAGCAATGTTTTACATTTTAAAATGAGTAGAATTCAAAATGGTTATTAATTAGCTTCACAGCACAATATGTAATAAAGAAAACACAAATGTACTTGAATTTGTGGACATCTAGGATTAGATCTGAATACTTTGCATCAATATTTTCATCATCATCCTTCTTGACAACAGAACTAGAACTTCAGAAATTTAAGTAACTATTTAATAACATAAAACACATTGGAGGTAATGATAATTCTGTATTAACAAAATTTAGTAAATAATTGACTAAAGCCAGGAGAGTTGAATTTAAATTAAATACAGTTTTATTAACTGATTGAATTAGAATATACTATTTGGAAATGTTTATAATTTCTCAGCTTTAATAGGATATTAAGGTAATAAAGTAAGAAAGTTACATTTATTAAAGGTATTCTTGAAAATAATACCAGGTACCAAATTTTTACTTAATCTTTCACTTTAAATAATGGCAAAGTCAAATTTATAAAAAAGTCAAGCTATATCTTACTTGTCCTTATGTAACTGTGGTTTTTTAAACAACCAAGAAGCTTCTTCTTTTGGAGATGGTATAATGGAGACAATAGCCGGAGATCTTTGGCTGTCATCAATAAGAAAAAATTGACATCAAAATTAACATCTCATCAACTTTTAGAAAAGTTAAAATGACTAATTTAGGTAGGCTAATAAATAAATTTTGACTTTCTAAAATTTAAAATTTTGACCTTAAAATATATTATATTGCTGTTAAAGGATTGCAAAAAATAATTTTATTTGTTCCAGTAGGCCTACATAGGCCCAATAATTTATTTATTACAATGCATTGAATTCTCAACTGAGTTAGCAAATTAAAAAATATTAAATAATATGGGTTAGACATATTTTAAAAAGTCATATTTAAGAAAAATCTTTTAACATATAATATTGATACATACTTGATTATTGATTTTATAGCTGGTCTTTTTCTGGTGATAATAAATATATACAATCTTTAAAATTACAGACTGAAATGATTTCAATCAAATAATTTACAGTAATCATTTAAGTCATCTAGCAATAGCACACTTAAATCTCATGTAAAAGTGTCTGCTTGTCCTCCATGACAGGAGAGGACAGAAATTAAGATCTGAAATTATTTACAACCCTAACTTTTGAAGATCTTCCGCTTCTACCCAGACTCTATGTTTTGGCACTATGGCAGTGATGATAGGTTGGTCATGAAGCTTTTCGAATGATGGACCATAAAGAGCTCTGTCTAAATGTAGGAGCAGCAATAATTTAGGTTGTGTTTGAAAAATTAAATCCAGCAATGAGGTATATTTGAATTACAATTATAATGTCTGAATATATAGCTTAAACTAGGGTAGAGCCACATTTTCTTAAAAAATACAATGAAACAGTAGAAATGGATATGAATAGATTAATAGAGCATTGAAAGCATTGAAAATAGTTTTGAAAAGAATGAGAGGACTTGTTCAAGCAAAAACATAACTCTACAACAAACTTACGGATGCAGCCTTCTATACTCAGCGGGAGTCAGCTTTTTATCTACTTCTGACTTCTGTTCTTCAATTGCTTCTATTTCAATTTTCTGAACTTTTGAAGGGTCTACCTCTTTTGGTTCTAAAAAAGAAAATTAACCCATCAGCAAGTGCCTGTGCTGTAATGTTACCAAACATCACTTTACCTTCTAATGTACTACATTTGAATAACAAAATTATTACCTCCAGAGGACATTGCTAAATTACTGAAAATCCCTTAAATAGAATTTCAAGTTTACCTTCTGCTGAGTACTTCACACGGATGGCAGGATTAAAGGTGTCCGATCGTAATATTCTATTTAAAATATAAAAAATAGCTAACAAATTTTAATTTCTAATGTTTTTACCAATGTAAACATGGTTAAATTTTAATTTCAATTTCATAATGCAACTAATAATGAAGCTTTAAAAAACATTTTTTTTTAATGTTGAATAAAATGTATTTTAATAATACTGTAAGGAAGAAAATGTTAAAAAGTATACACACACAAATTTTATCAAAACATTTGTTTTATATTTCATTAAATATTATATCTTTATAAGATTTAAGAGTTTCCTGAATTTAAAAAAAAAAATTAAATTTAGTAAATAGACATGGGCACAACACACCTTCCAATCTCTTTTTTTACAGAATCAAACTCCTTTCTTCGGAATGTGATCCACACCACAAAAGTGCAATATTTGTAAAATGTCTAAGATGAAATAACAATTGAAGTAGCAATTTTTTGTTTGCATTGGTTGAACATTTAAGAAACAAGAAATACAACATTTTTAAGGAATTATAATCAAAGAGCATATTCCTGAGATGAAAAGCTTACTATACTTATTCTAGTTAACTATAAAATTAACATTTGACACCAATGAAAATTACTCTGATGACCTGCTTGACAGTAATAATTAAATACTAACTTTTGCTGTTTTCCGATATGAACAATTAATTTTTTTAATTTGAATTCTCACCTCAAACATGCTACGGTCTGTGTATGTTTTAGAAACTCTTGATCTAGAAAAAAAAGGTATCAACAGTCACTCATTTAATGGGTTAAAAACTCTCAATGATTATTAAATTGAAATATATAAAGATATAACTTAAACCTATAAACGTTTTTGACACTTTATTTACCAGTAACACAAGAGGTAAGGAATGAGCCAGCATCATTTGGGTCCTTATTATATTTTTATGAGTATCACAGCTAATTAGTATGCTATATGTATTTTGATTTATGATGTTAAGTTACTGGTATGACAAATTGCAGCAACTGTTATTTATGGATTTAGTGATTCTATACTGGTCAGAAATGAGAATCCTTCAGTGTGTATTGTAGTGAAGAATGTACAGTTTACAGTTAGTGACTAGAACCAGGACTTAGTTGCAGTTGCAGCAGACGTTATAGATAAATAGGAAATTAAATAAATGTTGTCTTATCAATAAATTAAATCTACAGGATATTTTTTTGTGTGGTGTTTGGATCATTACTGCATCCCTGTGAGTTTTCCATATTTAAGCTTTATGCTTTTGATTATAAAATAAATACATGGGGATTTGGGGTGGGGGTGGGTGTAGTCTTACACAAATAAACTCTGTCTGTGCCTTCTGAGAATCTTCTCCACCTATTCTGTGACAACCTGCTGTAAATTTACTCCTGAAAACTTATTCTACCATCAACTAAAATTACCTCCCACATTCCATATGATGTTGATCCTGCAGGCCTAGTCCCAAGACAAGAATACAGTATGCTCTCCCCAGGAGTTTCTGTGCAACACTGAGACGATCACAAGCATTTGCATACTCTAGCTTTTCAGCTAAACTAGGTTCACTATTAATGCAACATACAAGTTAAGAAGTCATTCATTTTTTGTAGTATCATATAATATAAAATTATACTAATGGTCTAATGTAAAAAAGGAATCTCATGACTAAAATGAGCTAATAATTTGAGACTTACATAAACATAGGATTTTTCTTGGTCTCCAAAGTCAATTTGATAAAGTACCAGTTGAAATAACTCAGGAGATAAAGGAGAAAAAAGTCAAACTGCTCCTGACTAGGAATAAAAAGTTAATTAAAGTAAAATTAAATTTATTAATAATATTAAATCATATTCACAAATAAAAATGCTTTAACATTTCTTGCATCTTTTCTTATCATTAATTCGAGTTGCAGAGTTGGTAACAGAAGCCAGAACTTCAACTTTTTCATACCACCATGACCATGACAGTGTAGAAAGCTGTCTTTTGTTGACAAAGTTATTTTAAAGTGAGATCAGTGCATGAAAAGGTTTTCTTTAAAGAAAAAAAAAATTAAATATAGAATCTTTGACTCCAGTTCCATAGCATCGCATCTCTGTTTTAATAAGTTTAGCCACATACCATATTTGTTTTTAAGAGACCTCTTTGTAAAATGTTTTTTTTTTGTAACAAGGCAATATAGCATAGTTTATCAATCATCTAGTGAACACTGGTGCTTTCATATTATTATACCAATGCCTCTCTATCACATAAACATATCCCTAAACCTCCTTCATCTACACTCATTTTATAGTATACCTTTTCTTAATACATAAAAAGCACATCCCTTAATGTGGAACTATGGATTTTCTTTAATTTGTTGCTTTTATTAAACATATCAATATGGTGTTAAATTTTTAGATTCCAACAAACTCACATTAAAATTTTCTCACTCTTATAAATAAGTCAAGGACAAGAGGGAGTAAAATTTAACTAACCTGTACAAGCTATGGAAATGTTCAGGAATATTCTCAACTTCAGACATTCTTTGAAATGCAACAGCTGTTAAATATTAAAAAAATTAATGTTTATAATTTTATTCTAATATTCACCATTATTTTTTGATGACCCAATTATTTTCTCTTCATTCAAGAGAACTTTGTCAACTTTTATTTTTTTAATAACATTTTTTTTTTTTAAATTCAGGAATAAGAAAGTCAGTTTGGAAATGGGAAGTAACCACTTTACTAGCTTCTTAGATGAAATTTTTAATAAATTGTTATTTGTATGGATCTGATGTTAAAATGTATAATAAATAACAAAAATTAAGGGAAATAGTTAATCCAAGTCTTAACCTAACCTACTCTTAATGTCTTCAATAGTCACAGTTGTATGTTCACTTTGGTCTTTTTTTTGGGGGGCAAATTTAATGCTCTGCTTCATTGTGGTCACTCTTCCTTTCCCATAACCACCTCTTTGAATACCAGAGGAGGCTCTGCAATTAAACAGTGGAATACTATTAGAGCAAAGATAATAATATTTAGTTTAAAATAGTATGAACATTTTATTTGTTGCTTTAAATGAGAATGCAATCTAAACGATTTAGAATGATGTCAAATTTTTATTACCTTTCTCCTCTGCCCCTTCCTTCATGACCTCTTGCTCTTCTACGCTTGTCTAGTTTATCTGCATTTGGATTGTTACTGTAAACATTTTTCAGAAGTGATAAAAATGTTCTTCACTTGATCAACAATTTTTATTCACATGACACTAAATAACACAGATGACCGATGTGTCACTTAAAGTTAAAGATGTTCGGTTAAAAAAATAATTATTGCTCAATATTTTCAGTACTTATAAAGGGTGGACACTGGGATTTGAGGTTGGGCAGTGCAAATTATTAGTCTACACAAGGTCCAGCAATTCCCAAATGTCTGCACAGTCTTTTTAACAAATGTAACAGTTTTAACTTCAAGAAAGATTATTTCATACATCTGACTTTTTTTATTTCCTTTACTAAATAAAAACAATGAGTTAATAAAAAATTAAATGATATAGATTGTGCTGAGGCTTAGGGTTTCAGAAACCATAGATGTAAAGGAAAAGTTTAAAAACTTCATTAAAAAATTGATATGGTATATTGCTTACACGATATGTCCTTTTATAGTTTGACTAATAATTATTGTGACAAAAATGTCATTTGTCCATGACAGCATTTTTAACCAGACACTGTTCAAGTAGGCCAGGAGTGCAAGGTGTGAAGAATAGGAGTTATGGTGGGGAGGGTGAGGTGGGGGTGAGGGATATGGTAAGTATGATGGATTATTATAATGCTGGAGAAAGTGGAGTGAGGTAAGATATGGGGGCTGATAGTGAATGATTAGGTAAATGATGGGAAGAAATATGTGAGCATGGACATGAGATATAGAATATAGAGGTTAATTAATAATTGAATGTGAATGTAAATGTAGGAGTTTTGAGAAAGGAAAACTGGAAATAGCAAATCCTTAGTAGGACGGAGATGGATGTGCACAAGTTTCATGACATGCATTTTTGCTTAAGCGTCATGAGACAATATCGTTTCATTTAAGATTATCTTGATATTTGCGGTCGCTAAATATTTTGAATTTGAAATATCGTCAATCAAATAAAAATTGGGTATCCCAGCAATGGTAATAAGAGATTAAAAAATTAACGAGGTTCTGGCGAGGTTCGAACTCGCGACCTTCTGCGTGTAAAGCAGACGTGATAACCACTACACCACAGAACCCGTTATACGGTCAGTGACAAAATTAATCATATTCACCAACCTTACGAACTCCAAACTGGGACTGGTTGGATCATCTTTCCAAATCCATTTTCCAGAAAGCTGTATCTGGTTATGGAATTACATTTTTACACAAGTTTTATCAAATCTTAAGGATATTGTTTTATTAATTATGGTTTTCTTAAAACTAGACGAATAAAAATCTGGATTTGAAATTATTTTACAAAATAATCATGCGGATTGACTATTGACTCTCATTTCAATAATATATAATTAAACGAGATGCATTTACATTCTTACAAATAAACATAAGTCGTGGTTTAATTTATTGCTCGGAGATAAATAATTTAAAAATTGAAAGGAACGCAGGAAACCCATAACTTCTTATAAAATATAACTAATAAATTAGTAACATTAAAATGGAAGCCCGCTGCTTGCCGGAAGAGCAATAAACACAAACATATATTTTAATAAGTTACACAAGTCAGGAAATAAGTAAAAATACATATGTTTTCCTCAATAATCCTTAAAATTTTTATTTTTAACTATTTAAAAGTATTTATATATTCCGCACCCCATCATAAATTGAAGACATCGTAAAAAACAGGTGCTTTCCCCCCGCAAAAAAACTTCCATAACAACAAGAAAGAGCTACTATAAATTAGATGTAAGACCTTTTATTGGATTATTCCCCCTTCTGGTTGTACAGCTTGTCATCATGTGACCTAAATAGTGGGAACTTTTTTTTTTTTTGATGGGCTCAAATTTTCTTTTTTATTTATGTCACTATTGGTTTAATAAATTGATATTTTTTGTCTCTGTCATAGGGCATATTTAAATTTTTATTAGTATAGAAGTATGGACTTGGCATCATGCACTTCTAGATATTGATTTTTATCAAGTCAGATTAGTGAAACAACTTTAATAACTAATCCTTCTAGCTGATTTATATTATCCATCCATCATTTCTTAGCAAGTCAAACAAATAATCACACTTTTATTATCTCTTCACAGACAATACCCGGTATACATAGGAATATAGAATGAAATTTTCTTACCATGTAAATATTAGGATGAGTTTTATGCTAAATTTGGGTCAATCACTTTGAATTAAACAGGAACAAGTCATAACCCATGGCAAAAAGTATGATTAAGAATCGCAATCACCGTGTTCAGGGTGAAATTAGTTTGGTTCTTGAATGATATTCTTCAATCTAAAAGCTATTGGTTTTAAGCGCAATGACATGCAAGTGAGGATTTATACCTTGAGAAGTTAGTTCCCATGATCACAGTGAGTAAAACAATTGGGAAGTATTCATTAAAGATCTGTATTCAATTTAACAATGAGTTTGCACTACTGATTATTCAAGTCTGTTGTTGAAAGCCCTATATGAGAGCCAGAACTGTCCAACAGAAGGTCGGAGTGAGTTTAAAGTATCATACAGTGGCTGTGAAGGTCACACTGTAGCATAATATTTATCACCCACCAATGTAAACCCATTTTATTTATCTTTATTCAACAAAGGATATTTATATTTGATAAGTTTCCTTTGAGGATTTAGTAAGGAGAGAAAACTGAAGAGTTTTCATTTCTGATTAGAAAAATAAACTGAACAAATATTTTGTTGCCTCTGTTTTCAGGTTTTCCCATTATTTGTTTTGCTTATTTGCTTTTGAACACATGTTAAGTGTTTAGTTATTTATATACCTGTTAGACATGAGATGACACTTAAAATTATTTTACTAGTTTAAATATGGAGGGAAAAGACAAAAAAATGGCACACATTTGTTTACTTTTATTCAACAAAAAATTCACATCTTAAAATGACAATGTATCATTCTAAAGAAAAATGGTTATTATTTTTAAATAGGTAATAGTAGTTTTAACGAATTTAAATTATATTTTTTGATCTGAAAAATTATAAACTTTCAAAACTCAAAGATACCATATTTATTAAGTCCATAAGGCTTAATTCATAAAATATTTTTCACTTCATGAAATTTAATGTTTACTGTGTTCACTTCCAAATTACTTTACACAACCTATTAACTGCCATTATAAATTTTAATTTAATTATTTTTTAATAAATTTAATTATCGATAAAATAGTCACTGACTTAAATACCTGCTATGTCATTTTAAAATTCTTTAACTAGAAAGAGTGTTCACAAACCACTTATGTTTTTTTCCTAAATTTGTCAACAATGTAGCATATAATAAAATATCGGTGAAACAAATGATATTACAAAATAATGCTAACAAGTTTTATCAGAAATGAAACGAAGTTCAGTCGCAATGTCTGTCCCACATACAATATAAAATAAACTCTCATCAGCTGCATTTGTTCTAAAGATCTTCATCATCTGAATCATCAGACTCTTCCAATGCCAACTGAAAAAAAAAAAAAAGTTTTAGTTTATTCATAAATTATATTTCAGTACTCATAGTCAACAAAAAAAGATTTACAACTAAAAAGAATCTAACGAAATGAAGAAATACAATACACTTGATTGAGTAGCAAGCCATTAACATTAGCTGATGATTTAGCGGTTTAAAAAAATTAAGTAAGCATACATGCTGACTGTTATATACATGTATAGTTAGCCAAATACTGCTTAAGGCTTTCCTTATTTTTAAACTACAAAGAGTTATTTTTAGCCCACAACATGTCTGCTAGTAGAATGGCCTTGAAATTGACATCACCGCGTGAATGCATTCTTCCTCCCATATCCGCCCCTGTTCTGACTGGGGAAACAGTTTGTTTACGATCGAATGCATTCCATTTGTTCTCAAGAATGCCAATAGGTGACAAAATTTCTAGATTTTCTGTACTAGAATGCTTGGATTTGATTAATATATAAAGCCCACAGGGTTTATTAGCAGATAAACTTTATGATCCCAATATTTACAGAGACTTACTTAGAGATAGACTTTTCGAGAGTTAAAAAGACATTTATATTATTGAGTGTATGAATTCTTATTTCTGTTTTGAGGATTGTACCCTTTTTTCCCACTTGGTGTAGGTTGACACATTTTTTGCTACTGTACTTAAATTTGTATTTGCATAGAAAGTTATTTATTTACTTAAATTACATGTTAGTATCATTAGCTTTGGTATTGTTTTTATTTCCATACTGTTAGATCAATCTTTTGTTACATATTGTTTTGTGTACAAACCAAATATTAACACACAGATTTAATATTTATAATCATAGCAGTATATAAAACTGACATCTAGGTAAGAATAATGGTGAGTTTAGCACACACAAAATAAGTGTCATAGAAACAAATTTTTAAAGAATTTTTTTTTTTTTTTAATGGCTTAACAATACAATTGGTAAATGAGAAAATTATCTGCTCAAAGAGTAACCAAAGTAGGATTTTCAAAAGTAAGTATTATTTTTTCTGTTACCTGATAATGTTAGGGCAATTTTAAAATAACTTACCTTAGCATATTTTTCAGCTTCTACAAAAACTTCAGGTGGCACAAGTACATGTTTATTGTCAGTAACTGAGGAATGAGAAATTTACATTAAATATATATATTTTTAAAATTCTACATATCATGAGTGCTCTTTCTCTATGTCCCCATTCCCCACCAGGTAAAAAAGGTTTAAAACTGGACATTTTTTCCATGCATCATAACTTTAACCCACCTGGTTTAAGTGGGTTCAAATCTAGCTAATGCCAGTATTGTTCTTATATCTAAAAATTACATTTAGAATATGCTCATCAAGGTAAAAAATTGGAAGAAAGGAAATAGAACAGAAAAACTGAACAAATTTGTTAATGTTATCAATAAGAAAAAAACTAAAAAATAATAGTAATATTACATCATGTTTAAATCTAACAACTATGTGAGTGAAGTATAAAAAAAATTAATATCAAAATATTTTTATTCATTTTTACCAAGAACTATTGTACGTACAAGACATGTAACATCAACTTAATATTTGCCTTCTGAATCATTAAATGTAAAACTATTATTCACATCTTAATTAAGGATTTGGAAAAACTAAGGAAATGTTAAGATGTGGAGTTGGTAATACAAATTATACAGGCAACACAAAAACAAAATTTAAAATATCCCACAATAAATGCAGCACTCGTGAAATAAATTTAAAAAATACACAGAAATGAAAAAGATAAAATGTGCTTACTATCTCCAACCCAGCTCAGTTCCAGTTCAAAAGACTTGTCTTTTACTTCATCATGAACAATATAGATTCTATGAAAGAAAAAACAATATTATTGAGTTTGAAGTGCATGTATTTATCTGTAAGATTTTATTTTCATAATTCAGACTATGTTTCTGTTTATTTTGATTATTTTAATTAAAAAGAAGAATGATTTATTGGATTTGACATATAAATATAAAAGTGCTGCTTTCATAAATGTTTGTTTGGATGTAATAATAATATATTTGCTGAAGAAGGCTCTATGCCGATATGTTCAAATCTTATTGTCCTGTCCTTCAATTCAAGCTTCAACATACCTCGTTTTGCTATTTCATTTGTTTGGATTATTACTTTAAAAACAAGAAAAGAGGAAAATATCTGGACAAATACTGTGATATTTGAATTACAGACCTGTTTACCCTTGAACTCCTAAAACCGTACAATATCATCTCAAAATGGTAAAATACAATATCATAATAGTAAATAAATAAACATACAGTATATATAATGTATAACTACTAGCATGGCACGTTGAGTGGGATCAAGCTAAGCTGAAGTTTAGAGCATCATTTTAAAAAGAACCTACCAAGCAACTTAAGATTTCTTTAAAAAAATAGGAACCAATATCCATTACGCCCAAGTCCTGTTAACATATTACAGTCTGATAACTACCACAAGCTGTAGATTTGTGAAAGGAAGAGAGGGGATATTATAAATAATACAGCTCAGATCCTATAAAACATGTCGAAATCTAATGCTACCCGGAGCAGTTGAGAATGGATTCTCTATTTTTCGCTCTTTCTGGACTTTCCACCGTTCAGCCCTAAGAAATAATTATGTCACAAAATTAAATCATACAGCACAGAAGCTAACAACATGAGGAGGGGCAATCTGTATAGTATGTACTTAAAGTAGTCAAATTTTCTAACCCTCTGCCCCTAGTAACCCACTAGAGTAACTACTATATGCAGTTACTAGATGATGGTAGTGACCAACATGTGTTAAAATTATTTTTACCCAACCCTTTATTTTATTTAGTTTATGTATTCGCTATTTCGAAGTGTACTTTTTAGAATTTGACACAGGGAGCCTGGTGAACACCAAAATTTGGCATAGGCGCAGGGAAACTAAAATTTTTGAAGCACTGATGTCGCTTAACAAAATATACGTCACATTCAAGTTGAACATAAGGTGGACTAAATATTACTGTTATACCTCTTCTACTTACTACTATCTGAGAATATCTAGCAAGTTA